GGATACGAGAACGGAAGAAATCCAAGTCTGAAGGTGAGAATTGCTGGTGTGGTGTTTTTGTGTCTTTGAGCAGATGTGATTATTGAACATGTGAATGTATGTCTCTCTTTCTGTCTTTCTTTCTCTCATTCTCTCTCTTTTTTTCACTTTCTCATTCTTCCTCTCTCTCTTTCTATCTCCTCTCTCTTTCTTTCACTCTCTCATTCTTCCTCTCTCCCTTTCTATCTCTGTCTTTCTTTCTCTCTTTCTCTTTCTTGCTTTCACTCTCTCTTTCTTGCTTTCACTCTTTCTCTTGCATTCTTTCTCTTTCTTTCTTTCTCTCTCGCTTTTTCTTTCTCTTTCTTTCTCTCTCTCTCTCTACCCAGTTTCAAGTGAGCGCCCTCTGCCTGTTGAAGCAGTGGCACTGATTACTTCCGGTGCGCCCACCCTAGCTCATCGTGGCTAATATGTGCGGCACTTAATGTAGTTTTATGTCTATATTTGTGGGCATGTGTTTGTGTTTTATGTTGAGGGTTGGGGTGAAATTCCGTGGGGCTCATCGTTGTGGAACCGAAGAAGAGGAAGCCGTACTGTGGTAAGACGTCTGAGAGGAGTTCCAATAAAAATGTGGACCCACGTACACGCATTCTGTTGACAAATATGATTGTGTGAGACATACGAGTATTTTTAGTTACGAATAAGACATCGAGATACGAGCACCTCGGTTATACATACGACATCAACATACCAGTATTCGATTTGAGATACGAATATATTTTATCTGAAAAATACAAGCAATATATAGATACATACATAGTAGAATCTCGACACACGAGTATTTCAAGATACCTGTTTATATGGAGAAACATTTTGATATATGTGGTAGAATCTCAACATATGAATATTTCAAGATACGAGTAAACAGTTAAGCAATATACACCGTAAACGTAAATACGAAAACATGTTTTATCTGAATATATAGCCTTAAATTTATGAAAAAGTATACTGTTAACTTACCAACTGTGGGATATGAACCTGCAACCTTGTGGTCCGAAAAAAAAAGTCCCAGAAATGCAAGATTATGTCCTAAAACATGCTGCCAAGTGAATACCATTCGCCCTAACCGGGATTCGAACTTGCCCAGGAGGTGAACCCTGGAGTTCCACAGCAATGACAGAGACATTGCCTCTGGGCCAAAGCGCCACAGTGTAGACTACCTTTCGGAGGGAACTTGTTTATATATGCAGTTGCACGTTTGAGCCACCGGAGGGCGGATCGTGCAGACAACCTAATGGCCGGACCTCGTTGTTGGCGGAGCTAAACCGAACAACCGACCTCATTACCAGACAAGATTTCATCCTATAATGTGTTCCTACGCTAAACTGCTCTCGTGGAACATGAATAAAATAGATATCTTTCGATAGAAGCCACGCCCTATTACAGTATATCACCTCTACCTGTCATTAGCTTAAAATAGCACATAAGTCAAAAAGTTAAGATTTTTATTTATTTAATTTTTTATTTAATTTATGAAAATAGAAATGCTGTTTTGTTACAAATCTTTTGTTCAATACTGGTTTGTGTTAAATGTTTCATCAACAACATACAACCCTGTGTGTCTGCAAATCTAAACCACATCAGGAAATGGCTAAAATAAAACTTATTTTTGGTGGAAACTGAGTTTGCCTCATAGTTTCACTCAATTTGATCTGCTTCAGACCAAATCAGTCATGAAGGGAGTTCAGTCTGGTTATTTACATGGGTTAGTTTTTTTTCACTGCAGACTGGCAACGTTTGAAAACATTCATAGGAATTTCCTGAATTTAATTTGTCTGAGTGATGTTTAAAAAAAAGTTCTGACTGCCTTTGGTGATATTTTGTTTTGGAAAAATTCTAAGCAGTTTAAGGGAAATATTTTGTCAGTTTCCTGACTCCCATACATAGATGTCATATTTCCAGAGAAGTTAGGAGTTAAAGTCTGTAACCTAGAAATGCACACAAACCTTTACTGATCACATAAAAGAACAGAAAAACTTTCAGTGATTGGACCACTGTTATGGTCTCCTGGACTTAAAAATCTTAAACTTAATTTTTTTTTTTTTTAAGTTTTGTTTGGTGGTGGCCGCGGGGATTTTTCTAGTGTAAAATGCTTGTGTTATGAAATTCCTTTTAGATTGCAGCACAGCAAGGAGTTCATTTGTCTGCATTACACTATTACAGCCACAGTGTGGCGCTTATGTAAGCAGGATTTAAATGTGTCCGGTAGACGTCACTAAAACACCATTTTTTCCTTTGCCAAATTCAATCCCACAATCCTCTGTCACCGGCAGTGTATTCATTTGAATTGTCGGCTCTGGGGCGACAGCTACATGCTAACCTGACTACACAGGAGTTCGACTTGAGTTGCTTTTGGATATAGTTTTGCCTGGAGACCGTTAAAGCCCCTTCAGAATGACTATGTAAGTGTTTTGGTTTGGTGTAGAAATAGTGAAATTGGTTAGGTCATATGATAAAAAAGGAAAAAGTTTGGAGCTATCGTGCTAACTAGCGCCTTTGCTTCGCGATGATGTTGCCAGGTGAGATCGGTAGAATCCTAATGTAGGTAAAATTGTTTAACTTACTGGATTAACTATACAGGCCGAACTTATCACAAACACTTCTTGACAACGTTGTCACTTGGTTTTCTAATACATCATTGATAAGAACGTAGAAACTAAAGTAAATGTGCTAAATAATCGATTTTTTTCCCAGGCAAGTTCGTAGTTAATAACAATAAATGTATTAATCACCCGTTCGATTTATAGGAGTTTATACCCCACTTATTTCATAGATAGCGATCCCAGTATGTTATCACTAAAACACTGCACATACTATATATTTGAAATATGTTTTATAATAAGCTCTATACCGGAAATTTGCCCGATCTGGCAACCCTGCGGCCCAGCTTCGTGTATCCTACATACCTCAGCTAAATGCTAACAGTTAAAACTAATTGCCGGAATATGAGCTAAGAGAAGTAACGAACCATGCAGCCGAGATACTTTAGTTCTCAACATTATAATTTAAACGATATATGGAGCATTTCGTCCACATAGTTGGACTTTATTCACTTTCTCGCACCTTATGTAAACGCTAACGCTAATACCTGTGTGACAGCAGACACCGCCTTAGTGTTTACACTAATAACAGCGTTTACGTTTTGTTTATTATGTTTGTAACTTTTCTTTAAGTCATTGATCACGACACTGCCGTAGCATTTATGGACGGTTATACGTGGAAACCCAGTTTGAATGTTTCTAGAAACCCACAAAGACCCTTCAACCTGTTGCATGTCCTGTATCTGCGGAGTTTTACCAATGAATGTCCCGCATTTGTTTGTCCAACAGTGTCCCTTATTATGGTAGCTGCTAGACATGGCCGGACACACAGAGGCTCCATAAGGTCAAGAGGAATAAATCCGATGGCTTTCTGTGTTCCTGACAGCATATGTCTGCTTAAAAGAACATGAAGCAGGTATGAAAATGTCAGATGTTTAATGGCTGATATGTCTGTGCATCAATAGTTGTTCTCTCTGCTAAATGCTGGTCACTGCTGTTCAGTCGTGTTGTAGAAGTAGAGATGGTAGAAGTTGCCTCAAACTCATGTCCTTGTGTTTTAGGTGGATAATAAAAATAAGGACGTATTAGATAAGGAAAGGTGAGTCAATGATTCTGCATCTTGGGGTCATAAACTGTATATAAGAAGTGGACAAAGCCATGCTGGAAGGCAGTTACCTCTACATACTCTTATTGTGCTCAAGTGCTACTGTAGAAAATACCCATTCAGTGAGAACAAAGAACTCTACAACGTATTCCTCCTAAAACACATAAAGCTTTTTCCTGTTGGTATCCAATCATAACTGATGCCTTCAGTGTAATATGTTAAAGAGAAGTTTACGCTGCTAACAGACACGTGTGTTTAAGATATGCTAAAGTTAACCATTAACACACACAGACACAAAAATAAATATACCATCGACCCAAACAAAAGATTATCAACTGTTTGTACTGCATCTGTTACAGAAGTGGAGAGTTAAAAAATAATCCAAAAATCATTAGGGTACAGACAGAAGTTAACATTAAATTATTAAAATGATGATATTTCATTCAGTAACAATTGCCTGTAACATGGAGTGCTGTGTCCATTTCTTATATTCAGTCTATGCTTTGAATCCATCCAGTAATTCCTCACTCACTGCCTGTGCCCCACGGATCGCTCCTTTCAGTCACTGGACCTTTAAGCCAACCTGCCATACCTTCTGTCTTCACCTTATCTATAGATTCATTCATTTTCAGCTGTCCAAAACTAAAACTGCTTTTTGCATCTCAAAAATCTTGTTTTTTTTGTTTTGTTTTGTTTTCTCCAAAACTAAAACTGCTTTTTGCATGTCAAAAATCTTGTTTTTTTTTTCTTCATTTTCCTCTCATGACAGATTACAAGTGCATCACGTACCCTGCAGTCCAAACACAGCCAAGCGATTGTCGTCTTGCAAGAGGAAGGGCTGTCCGCCGGTGGGGGTGGGCTCAAAGCTGCACCGCAGGTCATCAGATGTCGGCCGTGCCTGTGTCCCCGGCATGGCCAACAAAGAAAATGAGCTGACTTGCTCTGAGGATGTGCGGGGCCTGGCTGTGAACCCGACAGGGGCCATCAAGATGGCAGGGGCCAGCTCCAAGTACGGGGACATCACTGAGGTACAAACCAGCAGTATCTGAATATTTGTTTACACTATTCTGTGTGTTTACTATGTGCTGAAGTCCCTCTGTGCACCATGTGTTGTTTGTCAACAGTTATCAAAGGACCATGAAGCTATGACTCAGATCCTTTTTGGAAGAAATCTACGACTTAAAGTTGCCCAAACACTGTGGCAGAGAAATGCCAGTGAGTTGGTGGCATATCTAGTGAGGTTAGTTGTTGATCAGGCTTCACTTTGAAAATAAAACTCTCCTCGTGGCCCACTTCTAAACTTTTTCTTTTTGTTTCCCAGAATTCAAGACACAGGGGTGATGCTGAACCTCTTACCTGTCTTAACAAAGAAGTGAGTTTCATTGATTTTATTTTTTGTGCCTTTCCTGTATTGACTTTTGAATATTTTGTTATTATGTATTTAATGTTTTTCTCCCATTCTTTCTTGTCACGTATGGAATCAGTCTCCTAACTGAAGCGCCATGTTTGTCACTTGGATGCTGCGTTGACCTGCTGCCGCAAGTCAAAGTGATTCTTACCGGTAGATACGAAGAGTAAGTTGTGGTGTTGAGTGGCTCAACTTTTGTCTCAGAGACAGAAAATCTCTGTCTCTCTCACGTGTCATAGACTAAATAATGAAGGTTGTACAAACCTCTCAATAACTAGTCAAATATTTAGCTTTTTTTTCTCTAAAATGAATCAACTTTATTTTCCACTTGATAACTGTTTTGTTTTCAGACACATATTGGTGGCTTTACGCTGGGTTCAGTCTGTCATTAAGAACTGGTGGCCAGAACTCTCAAAGAATGACAAGAGACTGCGGGACAGTTGTTCAGAAGACAGGTGGGTTGTCAGTGCTGGTCTAGTCCACGTTGACACAGTGCTGTCAGCTGTGGGCCACAACATAAACTGCTCATTTAAAGAAAAAAGTTCATGGAGTTTCCACTCAAGTTGACCTTTGGCCCTTTTTTTTTGAGTTTTTCTGTTTGGTACGTTCATTTCAGGAATGTTGAAGTCATGAGGCAGCGGCTTAAAGACCTGTGGAAGGAAGGTCCTCGGTTATGTTTAATCCCAGGATCTACAGGAGAGCTGGCCAAGGTATGAAAATAAACCCCTGACATAATTATAATTATTGATATCAAGAATTAATCAGTAACTGATTCAGGATTAGCAGCTCATTAAGATATAAAAAAATATAGTGTATAATTCCCCTGTGGCTGATTTTGAAGTCCCAGATTTCAGTATCATGTTTAATCCCCCGTGGCTGATTTTGAAGTCCCAGATTTCATTGATGTAGAGAAAACTAACAAAAAGCGATTGCAGTAGTGGAGCAGTGTCAGCTTTGTGAACACTTTACTGTGAGTTCTGTGACGCAGCAGGATTCAACACTGAGCCGCTCCGCCGTCGCTGCTGTTTATTGTCTGCGCTCTGTTGATTTTGGTTGGTCTCAGCCAAACACTCCTGTTGATGAAGGATATGACTGTGGTGCTTCAGTTATTCTGTTTTTGAACCTTCTGCCTGAGGCCAAAGTTATTTCCTTGTACTGATAAACCATGAAACCAGTCCTCTGAAAGGCAGCAGGCAGTGAAAACAACTGACACTGTTATCTCTCCTCTCCGTGCTGCAGGCCATCGAGGTTCATGTGTCACAGCTGCCCTGACACCCGACAGCCAGGCCCCACTGAGGACAGCGACCACTACCTGCCAGATGGAGGCCTGTGTTCTGAACTGATAATGACGCCGGAGAAAGCGTCAGGCTCTTCTTCTGCTAGGTCAAACCAAACCTCTTACTGGAACTGAACTTGACCAGTCAGACCTCCACCTACCCCCCCCTCCCCTCTCCTCGGTGAGAGCTGGAGACTCCCACTGCAGGCTCTGAGAGCTGCACTACAACAAATAAGAAAGAAAATGAATAAACGGCATATGACTGCTTCACATTGAAGTGGACCGTCTCGTGAAGGAGCACATTCCAAGTGAACCCCCCCATGAGACTGGGTGTAACGTCGCTCTATGAAGTGCCAAGCTCTACGTCTCTCACTACATCACTCTGTGTCATAAAATGCGCTCTTGGAAACACTGCTCCATCCCTACATTGTTGTTTGTTTTCTACCTGGATTCTCCAGACCCAGGAACTTGAATCTGCATCAGTCTTAAGTTATTAGAGCTCGGTTTCCTTTTTGTTTTTGCCTTTTTTTTGCATCTACATTTGACAATTAACTGTTTAAAACAAATGAGTCTTTTAATCTTCTTTTAAATAAATTTGATAATTATGAGGAAAAAAAGTCTTGCCTTTCATTGTCTTTGTTTATAGAATGATTGCTGCTGTCATGCCATAATGAATTAAATAAACGTGTATTAGCTTTTCCAACATGGACGGACTTTGTGTTGGAGTCGACCAACAAGTTCGTCTTCTTTTCCTTTATTAGCTTAGCAGCAGGAGCGCTGTTTGTCAAACGTTTGTTTTCTCTTCCTTTTAGTAAAAATCACTAGACATGAATTAACAAGATACAATATTTATATTTTGTCACTTTTTAAAATTTATTTTGTCAGTTTGACATACAATAAAGTTTGAAGTTCAGTAACAGCAAATTCTCCATCCAATAAAACAAATGTTTTGAATAATTGATCAGAGAGTTAGTGAAGCTTCGCAATTTTAAGTTTTGTCTCTTGTGAATTGCTAAAAATTCACAATTCAAATTCATGAGCCTTTTCATTTTCTATTTTTCCTTTATGCACAATGTCGCCGTCTGCTGATCAAAACGAGCACAACCGCCTGCACTCTACAAGCGGTTGACAATCATCATGACAGATAAAACGCAGCGTTTACGCTGTGTAGTAGTGAACTTAGCTGCTTTAGCTACACAGATGTTAAACAGCAGCAAAATCATTAAAGTTTGAGACGTTACTTGTATTTAAATCAGTGTCATTATTATTCATTCCGGTTTTCTTCTATCGAAAGTAGCTATTTTATCCATGTTCCACAAGGGCAGTTTAGCGGAGGGACACATTTTATGATGAAATCTTGTTGGGAAATGCGGTCGGTTGTTTGGTTTAGCTCCGCCAACAACAAGATCCGGCCGATAGGTTGTCTATACGATTCGCCCTCCGGTGGCTGAAACATGCAACTGCACTCATCATATGTCCGGTTGCATGTTTCAGCCACCGGAGGGCGCACCATATAGAAAACCTATCGGAGCGAGACTTGTAGGATGCTGTCGTTTTTGCTATTTTCAGTCAGCAGAGGGCGACATAATTTATATTGCACACCACTTTACGACCAATTCAAAACCGAACTTTTTAAAATTTTAAAACAACTAACGGAATGAGCTTGACTGATCTTAGGGGAACAATTTGACTAAGTAAAAGCCATAAATGAAAAAAAAAGAAACTGAGAGCCGTGTTGTCATTTTCTGTTCGAACAATAAAGTTTTTTTAAATTTCCGGTCGGTGTGGTGACGTCACTGTCTGCAAAGACAGCTGATGTTCTGAATCCCCTGTACGAGCCGTTTTCTGTAGTCGAGGTGGACGCCTTACCAATAATAATAATAACTGTAATAACCGAGGGTTCTTTTGAAGCAGTTTTGTACAGACGGAGATGATGTTGCCCCACAGAGAACAGATGCTTCTGCTGTGGCTATTTGTTCAGGCTGCGGTCACCGTAACGTGGTGTTTTACGGACTTGGAACCTGGGCCTGGTGTTGGAGCAGGTTTCCAGGCACAGGCGAACGGGGATCGCTTTAAAATCGAAGGCAGGGCGATTGTTCCCGGTATCAAAACGCAGGACTGGGTGTCCACGGCTAGGGTCCTGGTGGAAGGTGAAGAATACATTGGGTTTCTGAGGTAAGAAACGCGACGCCGCTGCGCCATTCGTTAGTTAGCCATTTAGCCTGCTAGCGAGGCTAGTTAGCATTAGCCTAGGAACCAAGCCTGTATTTAATTAGGTAAATGTGGATGTTTAATTTTCAAAGAAAATGGGGTTGGTTGTTATTAAGTCTTTAGTGGTGGCGGTGTAAATCAGGCCTGTAAGGCGTATAGTTTGGCGATTTGTTCAATTATTAATCAACGTAAACCTTTAGCTCAGGGGTTAGCACTAACCAAAACAGACCACTGTCGATAAGAAAGTGTCTCTCGAGGTTGTTTATTGCCTTTGTATTCGCATACAAAGGCAATAAACAATAATAATTATCTTTTATATAAACATCTATATCCAGTACAAAATGAAGACGTTGGCCAGTTAAGTCAGAAGTAGCTCCATTAGTTATGGAAATAAGTCTGATTGAAATTCTGTAAAATAAGCTACTTATAAATCATTTTTAAATTCATCCTATGGGGGAAACACCGTTGCCTAAGAACTGCGGTATGGTGAGACCGGTGGGCCTCATCCTGGCAGCCTGTTTGTGTTGTTACCCTTGAGATTTTGTTGCTTACACTGTTACAGGGATTATCTTTTCCAGGCA